AACAACAAGAATGTCTCTTATTAAACACTAAACACTTTCCAACGACGCACTACTGTTTGGCCAAGAGTTGCTGATTGAATTAGGCTCCAATACTTGGCTGACTAACATATCAATACTGTAGGCCTACTGTTATAGCTCTTTCAAAGCTCTTAATTCAGTACAAATAGTAACCGTTACAGTAAAGGAATGTTTCTCAAAAATGTGTCCCTACCTTATTAATCGTGCAAACATAGGCCTAATTACTTTTTGCCTAAACTTAAATGAGACCTGCCTAAACCTAACTCTAGTAAAATTGACACATGGACAAAGGCTTTAGTTTGAAATATGGATGTGCCAATAGTACCACAAAATAGGTTTGGTTAAAAAACAATATTGGACTAATCCTTTTCTCTATAATTATTATTCAACATATATGTATAGCCTACAATTTAAATTTGGATTGCATGAATTTAATTTGAGCAATAAATATCAAAATTTAGTAATAATTGTGCTTATAATTTGCATTAAATGTGTTAATTTTCTAATAATCGACGAAGTAAAGTAAAATATACATAATACACACCTTTCATTGATATTTAAAGGGAAAATAATAAATTAAAACTTGTTTGTAGTGTGTAGTTTGATAATCATAAACACCTGGGTATTTTACATCTCTAAATAGTATTATTTGACTTGGTTCATTTAAAAATGAAGAAATAATAGCAAATAAAACAAAATGTAAAGCATTTGTTATAACATGTAAATATGTTTTCTCGGGTCATTAATGATGCTGCTACAAAATATTCCCGTTAAAAGTTGCAGGTAAAAAATAATTTTAAAAATCTTTAGGCCTAATTTTATTTGTAATTAGTGCACACACTACAACACTGAACTTCTTTCTATTCATCCTTCTTGTTATTCCTTAGTATCTTAAATTATTGTCCATGGTTTAAATGACCTCAAACCTCTTAGGTTCAGTGACATGATGCAACTTGCATATAATTTTCATTTTCAATGTCCTAAGGTATAATTTAAAATTAAAAAGATATTGTAAATCAGGTAGATCTTAGATAAGGTTTATGACATCAAACTATTATGTGCATATGAATAGGTGATGGAATTGTCATACCTGTCATATGTTAAATCTTAAACTTGAAGGAAAACCAAATAATGCCTAATTATTATATTTCCAATGTATAAGTACCCTAAAAATCATTCAGCTTACACCAGTAATAACATTTTTCACATTATATTACAAACCACTTCTTAAACATTTTTACTTAAAAAAACGTGCTGAAATAGTATACAATATCTGTCTCATATTATGAAACTAAATTGATGTTAAGGTAAACTATTCTTTTATACTTTCTTTTATTTTTATATAGACCGCTTTCACTTGAATTCTGAAATATTGATCAAATTAAGGATACAAACGAGCTCGAAAAAAAACATTTTTGAAAACACAATTAGGTAAAGAATAAATGATGACTAATTAACAATGAAATATCACTAATGAAATTTAAATTCACTCAAAGCTTAAAATTCCCTTCTATCCTTGAGCAATGTTTGCTAAGTCTGCAGTCGCAGTCAGCTCAATCAGGTCATGCAATACAGCAATTAATTAATCTTAGCAATTACTTGAGTTTGTGACTCAAGTAAAAGTGTTTGACGCTTGAGTTCAAAGAGTGTTTGGTAGTATGTTATCGATAATTTGTGTTCAATTTGTTATTCGAGCTTACGTAATCTGCTGAGGAGTTAAAATTATATTGACTGTAAACAATATTCTCCAGTCCAAATAAACTTTTCTATCTCTAACTCTAGACAGTTGAAATGGTTTACAACTATAAAAACACCTAAAACAAATAAACATCTAAACTGTGCAGTGTTTGCATTTGCATGGTTACTTAATAAATATGTAAGCTATTTAACCAATGTTTCAGTAATAAAGAGGTCAAAACAAAGTTTAAGACATAGAACACAAGTAGGCCTAGCCTATATTGAGTTTTGTTAAGTCTCAAAATGTATTTCCCAAGTAATATAATTACAACCATACAAACTGTTTAGGCCTTTAAATATTTTAAAGTTAACTATTATTTTGTAAATCGTTGTTGTAAGACAGACACAATCAGATGCAGTGTCCACTTTCAGCCTCACTAGATTCAATTCAATTCAATTCAATTCAATTCGTTTATTCACGGCAGAAGCCATTGTACAATAATGCCATTACATACGGGAGATAACAAGCAATAATAAATACTAAATAATACCACAAGCAATAACAAATACTAAATAATACAATAGGTGAATACAAGATGCATAAGGATAGTAATACTACTGAATAGAACATACAAAATTAGTAACAGGTGGACTATGAACAAAAGAAGCTAGCATTCAAAAAGATATGCAATAGGATATCAGGTGACGTGCGAAAGGCATAATAATAATACTGAAAGAGAAACAAGATGCATACAAATCATAATAGCAAGACATGTAATAATATTAATAAATAGTGCCATACAATAATGAGTAAAAATCAGACTCTGGACAAACCAAAAAAGAAAGAAGCTAGCATTGCAAGTAAAAGTACAGATGGTTAACGAGCAAAGAGATATAACTGAGAATGAGACACAAGATGCATACGATATATAATAACAAGACATAATAACAATAATAATAATAGTGCATACAATGGTAATAAGTAGCTCTGACCAAGACAAACACAATAACAGGATCGACATGAATGAGAGGTGATGTATAATTAGACCAAGCATGGTCATGATTAAAAAAATAAAAATTAAAAAAATAAAAAAAATAAAAATTCAAGGTGCAACACTACATTGACTCACTACACGCTAGGCTCACAACACTCAAAAATGCATCTCTTCTGAAGGCAGTAGGACGAACTCCGAAGAACTCCAGATGGGCGTTGTTTCCGAGACGCATCAGGCGAGGTACAGGACTATGGTACATGTATGAGGTAGGGTAGTGCAGCTTGGCAAAAACGTTCTGTAGCCGTGTTCTCTGAGGAACCTGGAAGTTCAACATCTGAAGAATCTCGGGGCATTCCACTAGGTAGTTGACAATTTTGTACAGGAAAATCAGATCCAATGCAGTTCGTCTTGATAAGAGCGGCAGCAATTGTAGTTGAGCTGCAATATGATCAGTATTAACATCCATATAGCGAATCCCTGCTCGAACACCAACCAGGCGAAGGAAGCGCTTTTGAACCATTTCCAAGGAATTAATATGGCCAACTTGGAACGGAGACCATACAGTGGAGCAATATTCGAGAATAGGTCTCACCAAGGAAACATACAAGATCTTCAAAGTATTGGTAGAGAAAGCACCACTCCTTGAAATACGGGCAATTAAACCCAGTACAGAATTGGCCTTCATGCATATTCTCTGTATGTGTTCACCTGGGTCCAAAGTAGGGGTTATGAACACTCCAAGATCCCTTGCCCCATTTACTCTCCTTAGCTGAGTGCCTAGAATTGTGTAGTCGTAGACAAGCAAGTTCTGACATCTTCCAAATGACATAACTACACACTTTCCAGCATTAAGTTCCATCAGGTTATCGGTGCACCACATGACAACGGTATTAAGAGCTTCCTGGAGTTCATGCTGATCTTGCAGAGAAGACACTTTCTTGTAGATCTTGATGTCGTCTGCGAATAATAGATACTCGCAGCCCAACGAATCCCCAACGTCATTGACAAACAAGCTGAACAAGAATGGTCCCAAGTGTGACCCCTGTGGTACGCCAGAAGTCACCTGAATCGGTTTGGAGGTGTTGTATGAAAGCTTGACTCTGAGTGTACGTCCCGACAGGTAGCTGTCAAACCATTCCAAAAGAGGGCCGGTGATACCAAAGGCATGCAATTTCTTAATGAGAATAGCATGGTTCACTCGGTCAAAGGCCTTAGTAAAGTCTAGGTATATACAATCGGTCTGTTCACCCAAAGAGAAAGCAGAGAGGACATTGCTGGAGAATACCATCAGGTTGGTGACAGTCGATTTGCCAGAACGAAAGCCATGTTGTTGAGGGATGATTGAACTCCTGTAGGTGAACTCCACAACATCTAGAACCAAACTCTCAAATAACTTTGCCAATGCGGACTGAATAACTATTGGCCTATAGTTGTTGACGTCATCTGCATCACCACTCTTGTGAATAGGGACCAGAAATCCAGGCTTGAGGTTTCGTGGAAAAATGCCTCTTCTAAGAAGGGAAGTGAAGAGGATTGAGAGATGGGGGGCCAAGCTGTCCGAACAAAACTTGAGTGCAGCAGGAGTTATGTCATCCGGACCTGCACCTTTAGAGACATCCAAATTCTTAAGTTTCTTATCCACGTCTGAGGCAGAAATATTCCAGGAGGAGAGAGTAGGACCAGACATATGTAGGCTAGGAGCGGGATGATCTGCGCCAGGAGTCCTATAAATCGTCGAAAAGTAATCGGCAAACAGGTCGCACATCAGCGAGGGGTTGTCGGCTGATACACCATTGTAATGGATACTACTGGGAATGCTTTTGGTTTTATTTAAAGATTTTACATGACTCCAGAAAGATTTTGGATTAGATCTTAAACTGTTCTCAACCCTCTCTAAGTTTGATCTATGGCAGGCTTTGACCAAAGATTTACATGTGTTCCTTATAGTTCTGAATTCATCGTAAATCTCGATGTCAAGTGTCTCTTTAAACCTTTTGTGTAGATGTTTTTTCTTGTAGACCAGAGATTTAAGTTTAGGAGAAAACCAGGCAGGGAAGTTGGATTTCTTAATCACTCTAAGAGGTGAACTTTGCCGAATACAGCAGGAGAGACTTTGGCAAAAATTCTCAAAGTAGCTTTCAACATCCGGTAAGTCAGATGCAGGGTAGTTAAGGGACTGAATCCAATGGTTGACGTTCTGCAACTGACATTTCCTGAGGTCATAAACTAAGACTGATTCATCAATGCAAGGATTAGATAACAACTGATAAAACATTAGTTTTGTTTAGGTTTCCTTCATATTTAGTAAACATGACCACCCACGTAAAATACCCTGCGTTTATTGGGTATAGAGCCTTGACTAATGGGTCATTAAAAACATTAAACATTGAAGCATTTAGTTCTACAATCTTCTTAGATCTGTTGAGATCACTTAAGTGAAGTACATTAGTAGGAGATCCATGTATTATAAGGCAAAAATATATTAAAAACTACTGTAATACAGTAGAGTCTTAAGTTATCTGACCTACACTGGCCTTGGCAGAAGATATATGAAAAAAAATAAGACAACATAGAAAATAAAAAAAAACATTTTAAATATAAGTCATTAAATTGATAGACATAGACATAGACATAGACATATTTTATTTGCACATAACATTCTTTACATGTGTTACATACAGAATAGGTGCATCGTCAGAGTTTGAATTATCAGAATATAAAAAATAAAATAGTAATCAAGATGATAATATAAATTAACAAAATTGAATGATAAAACTATTCTAAACTAAAGGGGCATTGTGAAAATCTGCAATTAAATAAAAGGCTCTGTCAATTAAGAGTTCACCTATTTTATCTTTAAAATTATTTTCATTTAGCAATTTATAGTTTGCAGGCAGCACATTGTACAGCCTCAGCCCAGCATATAGTGGACTTTTTTCATAAAGGGTCAAATGGTGCCTTGGAAATCTAAAAATGTTTTCATTTCGAGTATTATATCTATGGTTGATTTGAATTGATTCTGGGAGGTCGTTTTTAGCTGAATGAATGTAGTTTAGTGATTCCAAGATGTACAGTCCTGTTAGGGTGTGGATTTTTAAATTTCGAAAAAGGTTTTTGCATGAACTACGTGGATGAGAGCTGGTCATAATACGGATAATGCGTTTTTGTAGCCTGAATATTGATTTGACTCCGGTAGCCTGACCCCATAAGATTATACCATACCTCAATACTGATTCTACATAAGCATGATAAACCATTTTCAGAGTTTCTTTAGGAACACAGTCCCTTAAGTGAAGAAATACAATTGACATGGATCTAAGTTTACTTTTTAGCGAATTTCCCTATAGGGAAGTAGCTATTACCGTAGGTGGCACGGTAAGACCTAGACCCGGGACCGATTTACTTTTTCATTTTGATGTCCCCAGAGGCCAAAAACACCATTCGTTAAAATTTTTATATATGTATATATATATAGACATATATATATATATATATATATATACGTCCGTGAACGCGATAACTTGAGTAATTTTTGTCCGATTTTGATGAAATTTGGTTTAAAGGTGTAAAGCGGGATAAACTTGAATGAGTTCGCGAACCAGAACGATCGGACCATGGGAACGGGGCTTTACGGGGGGTTTTATGGGGTAAAAATTGGTTTTTCTCACTTTTGACCCTCAAAACACAAAATTTCCCGATTTCTCTTTAGACCTTTTTAAAGAGCTTAAAAAAACAAATAATTTAGTATATAAAAGTATTTTTGTTCGACTATTAGTAACGGAGAAAATTAAAAAAATTGTAAATTTAAAATTCCCATGTTATTCTTATGGAGAATATTGTCAAATGTTGTAGTTTGCTTGTTTATGGATATATTTTGATCAAACTTGGCAAATTTATTTATTTTGTACTAAGCTATCAATATTTTACTCAAAAACACACTTTATTTGTTTCCTTGTAGCAGCAAACCTAGGTACTCGTTAAACCTAATGTTATTAAAATATATTTAACTGAAAATCAATTCAGACAAATGGAAATTCGCTTAGTCGGCAGGTTTGCTGCGGCGGGGGTATTAATTGATTCAGATGTACATCCCATTTAAGTGATTCATCTATGTAAACACCTAGAAATTTATGAGACGTTGCCAATTTAAGGGAATCAATTTTATTACCATTGTTTCTGACAGAAAATTTTATTGTTTGCGTTTTTTCAAGATTAAGTTTTAATCCATTGTTCAAGAACCAACCTTCCATGTCATGAACCACATTTTCAAGAGAAGATAGCATTTCAGAAGTACTATTATTTTTTATCAAGGCTGTTGTATCATCTGCAAAAAGAATTAGTTCCTGATCAATAGCTTTAGGGAGGTCATTAATGTAAATTAGAAAGAATAGAGGACCTAAGATTGAACCTTGGGGCACACCTGCCGATAGGTTTTCCCATGGCGAATAGTACTTGATCTTATCAAGTAAGTTTCTCCATTGATAAAGTTTGATAAAGTTTCTCCATTCAAACCTTTTTAAGGCTTTTGTTTGTCCCACTGAAACCAATAACTTCTTGCCATTTTGAAGCCATCTTCACAAACGTAAGTGTAGTTTTTTAAGTAAGGGCCGCTGTTTATATAAAAAGGCACCTATATAACAAGGTGTTATACATAAAGGTGTCAGTCAGATTTTGTGTGGTGTTGGTCAATTTTTGGGCATTTAACACGTTCGCTGCTGAAAACCTTTACACAGGCGCTCCTGCGGCGAGGCCCCGGGCAGAGCCCCGGCGCACTACTGAATCAGCGGTTGCTATTGGCATTGAAATATCTCAGTAAGACGAATTACAAAAGAGCAGTGGTGATTGTTCTGCATTTCCCCGAAAGTGGACGTAGTTCACTGAAACACCCAAAGGTAGCAGCACTGCCTGGATCAATAGCCAGTGTCTTTGTAATATGACTCGAATAGAAAAATCCCCGAAACCGGGACAAAAGCATTGCCAGATCGGATTTTATGGGAATGTTTAGTACCAACCTACACCAAAATAAAGCTCACATTGTAAGCTACAGCCTGGCAACAATTACAACGTTCCCGGCCGTGTGCTGGGTTCATACTGACACAATGTCTGGCAGAGTAGCACACTACTTGATTTAGCAGTAGGCCGCAGCAAACGTGTTAAGGTCAATTACTATATTTTCTAGAAAATCAACTGAGTTAAAAGACAATATGTAACCTTTAGCACTACCGTCAATGCATTGACGCTTGACATCCCAGAGCGTGTCATTACCATCGATGCATCGATATTTGATACTGGGAGAGTTAATGCATCAACAGCAGCCACCAAAATATCACTGCTCAATAAAGGCCGGCTTGAGCATTCTTCATAATGGACATTTTCACAGCCATTTTTAATTTCCCTTAGTAATTTTTGAATTTTACCCTTACTCATTGCCTTAGGGCCATATGCCTCAGTTATCTGGCGATGAATATCTGCTGCCGATACGTTTCTTGCATTTAAAAAACGTATCACTGACCTATTCTCGCATGCAGCAAATTTAATAATTTTTTTTTATATGCTCAGCAAAACATCCATGTTAGCCAAACAGCTGCAACTGGCACGATTCTGCTCTCAAAGGATGCCAGTAAGTGGCGAGCCTACTAAATCAGCGAACTACGGAGCTATACGCACAAACGCTTCTTACTTAAAAAAACACCCTAGTAGCCTAATATAAAAAAATAACCGAAGTATTTGAAATACCACTACTGTATATGTACAATATAAGATAACACAAAATGTTTCAGCTCAGCTACAATTCTCCTTGAAACCACCCATCCAAACAAAATTAACAGATGTAAAATCCGATAAATAACATCTCCCCCTAGTGTTTTACTTCTTTTGTTCAAGTAACACAAGGGGTGAATTAAATTAAAGAGATAAAATGGCCTATAGAGTTAGAATGTTATTGCAGTTGGAAATTAAAGTTAAGAAAACTAAACTGGTTCCAATAAATGTGTTTTTTATAGTGAAGATAGTGTTAACGTAGTATACTACTGTGTCGAATAATACAAACCCTTCACAGACTGAGATGTTTTATACTTCTGTTGTTATTCATTAGGCCCTGAATAACTCGACCCTATGACCATCCCCTTGAAATTCAGGTAGCTCAAGATGCTAAAAGTACCTTAAAAAATCTAAAGTTTTAAATATTATATGTACCCCCCTGTGTCAGTGGTGCTCCAGTGTTCCTAAGTCACTTTATGATACTGTGTGTTGCAGTGGTAACATAGAGGAGGAGGAGATGGCCCCCCAGTACTGTGTCAGCCTGGGCGTGGGGCCTCAGTGGTGCTCCTGATGCTCCCCATGCCGCATTGTTTAAATTAGTCTCGCCGCACTCTCACAGCACAGAGAGCCGCGGTGTGGGGAAACAAGAAAAGCTCTCTGTGGTCGATGAATCCAACGTTATTGACGTAAGTATTATTTATTTGTAGTTTAGTAAAATATTTAAAATTCTAGTTTCAAAATTAATGTTAATAAAAAAATTCTAGATAGGATGAATTTTAGCTAGATTAGGTCCCTTATCAAAGGGTTTGTTGTTGTGGCATAATATCGCTCCATTACTTGCCTCACACAAATTCTTCCTGTTTTTTAATATGTATGCAGGCCCGTTTTTGACACTGTCAGCGCCCTAGGCTAAACTAATAGTAGCGCCCCTTTGCAATAGATATACAGGGTGTCCACCACAGAAAAATCTGGGAACTATGTGTGAGTTTTTTGAAATTTTGTATTTCTACCTAGAATTTTCAATTTAACGCGAACGCGCATGACAACAGTGACGTATCCGTGACCGTGGAAGACTATAATATGTTCCTACACACGGTCGCGAGGGATGACCAGAATCTTGCTCCGATTGCAGCTAGAAGACGATGATATGGTCTACATGACGGCCGAAACAGTCAGAATTTTTCCGTGATCTCGCAAGACGATGATGATATCTACAGAGCCGCAAGGGATGATCAGAATATTGCCTCAATCATGGAAGACGATGATAATGTCCACCTGACCGAGGGAAACAGTCAGAATTTTGCCGCGATCGCGGAAGACGATGATGATCTCCACACAACTGCGGGATATGATGACATTTTATGGCATTTTTCCGCAAGCGCAGGTGCCGATTACTATGTCTTCACGACTGCGGGAGACGATTACTATTTTGCTGCAATCGCGGGAAACGATTACTATGTCTACACGACCGCGGGAGACGATATAATGATCTTTACGCTGGCGAGGGATGATCAAGAATTTTACCGCAATCGCGCAAGACGATCATCATATACACATATTTGTTCATACAGGCACGATCATGGAAGAGGATAATTATAACACGACCTCGGGTAATAGTCTGAAATTTACGGCGATCACGGCAAACTTCTGCAAAATCAGTGACAACAACGACAACGGGAAATAATTAAAAAATTATCGCAATCGTGGGAGGCAATTACGAAGTCCAAACGCCCGCGGGAGACAATAATTATGATGTCTACACGGCCACAAGGGATTAAGCAGAAGTTTACTGCGATCCCATCCAAATAAAACAAATTTTTTTTCCAGATTTTTTTCGGCCCTTCAAAAAAGCCAATTGCCTCACGCCCTAGGCACGTGCCTACTGTGCCTATTTGGTAAATCGGCCCTGTATGTATGTAAGCTATTTAAAGTGTAGCTGAGGTGGACAGTTTGTCTTGCACTTTATTCCTAGAATTTTGTGCATTCCTACTCTTCTACATGTAAAAGGTGTGGCTATAAATTACCGGGGCTAGTTTTCCATGAGACAAATGACAAGAACATGAAGTCCAAACACCCCAAGGCAATAAATAGCCTAGTTCCTTGACATCCCCTGCACCATTAGGTTACTCAGTTTGGCAACTTTAAGTAACCAATATTGGCATGAGTAATAATTGATGCTCCCTTTTAGTATGAATGGCCTTCTCTAGTAATCTGAGGTCGTAAATATCAACCTCTATCAATCACCAGTTCAAAGGAGAAGAATCTTTCAACTTAAAAAATGTGGAGGGAGTTTAGAGATGGTCATAACAAATTGCACAATGTTTACAGTGTTTTGCACAGTATAGGCCAGATGCCTATACACCTGCCTGTTCATTATTTTTTTTTAGCTAGTGAACGAAGATAAAAAAATTATGAATGCAGATCATAGTTCGACTAGACAACAGTAAATCCTGGTAGTCTTAAACGCGCCAATCAGCAAGCAAAGTTTCTCTAACTCAAATCGCCGTTTTTTTTTTTAATTGATGAACTCTTGTTGCCAGACTCGTTGAGCAAATACGTACAAAAATGTTCTTATTACAAAATCCTCAAATGTCAACACTTTTTGGCGTACACATCTATAAACACACATTGTATTTCAATAGTGGAGGCCCCTTAATAGTCCAAGTGGTATTAGGATGTATAATAAACTGGAATAATTTATAATAGTTTACCAAGTTTATAAGAATATTTTGGTGCCAAGTTATCTTGAATATTAATAATCAAAACCAGCTCTAGTGTCTTCTTTTACTAATTATAAAATTAAATAGCCGAAATCGTAATTACAATATAGCTTATGCAGTATCGGCTCCTTTTTTTATAGCTACTAGTCTTTACCCCCACAAAATCCTAATAATAATTCTGGAAGTTTATATTCAGTTCTCATTCAAACACAACCGACTCTAGTGTCAGCTGACCTTGAATATACTTGATTGTGTTATTGATATTGGTCTGCGTCATTGTCAAGCAACAATTCTAGTTCATCCATTCCTGAAGATTGTTTATATTGCTTCATTATTTTTCACCAGATCTCTATGAGAATTTTGTAAATATCTTGAAAAGTTCTGTTAATATCGTAATTAAAAACCAATTAATTAAGTTATGAATTATTGATAGTTTACACTAGTCGATTGACGGTTTTCTTTTTGTGGAAGTGGTGAAAATTAATGTTAAAATGTAATATAAAATATTGCTATATTTATCATGATTATTTGTTATAATGAATGGAAATATTTAGTTTTCACTCCTGCAATTTATATATTTCACAAAATTTTTGTTATAATACTATAAAATTAAATAATTATAGTATTCGTAACAATGCATACGACAGGATGTATTTTATTGGTCATACTGCTGTATAAGTGCACTTTAAGACCTAGATTGTGAAGATTGAAACTAACTTTACTTAAATTGTACACCTTTACGCCCTTACCCCGTGAGGAATCAGATATATTTTGCATTTAACAACGCTACATTTAGCAGGCCTCCGAGTCGTCCTACTTTTCCTACTTTTTAGTAGGAAAGTAGGAAAAGTCCTACTTTTTACACATTTGTCCTACTTTCCTACTTTTTTATAAAAATTATATCGATTTTGCGATATTTTATTACACTTATTATTAATGTTTACTTATCAATATTTCCCAATGAGAAGTTTTTTCCTAAAAAATATGACTGACTGAGATATTTTTTTTTAAAACAATCAGTTAAATTGTTTAAAATTTTAATTTATAAGTTCCAGTACCGGTAGTATCTGTATGGTTAATCTTATCAACATTGTTATTGGGTGAAAACATTTTTTTTTTCAAAGACATGGCAATACTATTGTGATAGAAAATAAAAATTGTGATTATTATCAGTGCTTACTATTCTGACATGTCTTTTAGATTCCCGGAAAGTAAATTTAATAACACGTACAATGCTGATCAAGAAGTTATTTTAGATTCCCCAATGAAGTAAACTGAGGGGAAATCAATGCTCCTGGGGAGCCCTGGGATACTAGTTCAAAAGTAGTTAACTTTAGCACTTATCGGTCCAGTGTTTCCCTGATTAGCCTAAACATGATTTTTTGACATAATTGTATTCAAAATAAATTAAGGCTTAAGTTCAAGTTTAAATGTCCAAGTCTCACTGGCTCAAATAGTTTTTACTCATTACAATTCAAACATTCCTACTACTTTTAAGATAGCTCTAATCTAACTAATTCAAAATACTTTTGGAACATTTTTTTAGAATTTTATATTATAGGTATCTAGACATCTAGTTCCGTACTTTATAGGCCTACTTAAATAACTATTCATGCTTTTGTTTTCCACATAAAAAAATTCATTTTACTTTTATATTAATTTTAGTTCTGAAATATTAAATAATGTAAAAAAAAAGAACAAATTTCTTATTTACAGCACCATTTTAAACACAAATTAGGGCTGGTTGGTAACGTTAGGGAAACATATTTATTTTTATCCTTTATTTAATGCTGCTTGTCCTAAATACTTTTTCGTGATGACTGTAGATAATGACTCCTTAACATTTTAATTTCTCTTGTGCGTTACTTCTGAATATTTGGTGTACAATCTCAGCTAAAACTTCCTTTTAGTTGAAGATTTTTTAAATACAAATAATTAATTATTGATTTTAATTTTAAAATTTATATATAGAATTATTTTTGTTATGTTTCCAAATTGTCTGGACATATTTTGTGGACTTCTTTCTTGGACTAAAGCCGGGTTTTCCTAGGCGCGGAAGCGGAGAGCGGAGAGAGGAACGCGGAGAGCGGACTCCACTTGTCTTAGGTAATTTAATGTTTTTGTTTTCCCAGAAGCCGAGCGGAACACCATGTTAATTTCTTTTCCGCTCTCCGCTCTCCGCTTCCGCGCCTAGGAAAACCCAGCTTAAGACAAACATAAAATTCCATATAAGTATGGGTCTAAAATGCATAGATTTTAATTTGTCGGTCTGTTTGTGATTTTTTAAATTATTTTATATCTTGGGAATTTTTCAAGATAGAACTTTTAAAATGGATATAAATGTGTATTTTAGAAGGTGATAAGAGCTTGCAAAGTTTCGATCCAATATCTCAAGCCGTTTCAATATGGCATCCATTTAAAATATTTAATGCCAAATTTAATTTGAAACCGTAAATATTTAGAATATAGTTTCCTGGATCAAAAAGATAGAGAATTCAAATACAAATCAAATGAGACCTTGTTTTTTAAAATCTGATGACAAACAACCAAATCAGTTTTTTCTAAATTTGTTTACGCAATTTAATAGGACTACCCATACTGCTCTGAAAAATAACAAATAAGAATACAGTATGGTAGTCCTATTAAATTGCGTAACCGAATGTTAAAAAAAAACTTATTTATGGTTGTTTGTCATCCGATTTTACAAACAAGGTCTCATTTGATTTGGATTTGAATTCTCCATCTTTTTGATCCTGGAAACCATTTTCTAAATATTTACGGTTTTCATGAAATTTGGCATTAAAGATTTTAAATGGCAGCCATATTGAAACGGCTTGAGATATTGGATTGAAACTTTGCAAGCTCTTTTTACCTTCTAAAATACACATTTATAACCATTTTAAAAGTTCTATCTTGAAAAATGCTCAAGATATAAAATAATTTTTAAATGTCACAAACAGACCGACCAACAAATATTTAGGCATTTTAGACCCATGCATACTTATATGGAATTTTATGTTTGTCTTAGCCCCAGAAACAAGTCCACAAAATATGTCCAGACAATTTGGAAACACCCTGTATATTTATATACACTATTCTATTTGATAAACTATTGTGTATGCTAGTATTATTTGGTTTTTAATATATATTGTATCAGCAAAAAAGTTCGATTTGTATGTAAAATTAAGTCCTACTTTTCCTACTTTTTGCTGAAAAAGTCCTACTTTTCCTACTTTTTTTAAGTCAAAAACCACTTGGGGGCCTGATTTAGGTTTACTTATTCCACCTTAATTTTCTTTCCTTCTTGTCCTAAAGCTTGGATTATAATAGTCTACAAGACCAGGTGATATTCAATCTCCAGCTTCAACTGAGCATGATTTGTAAAATTGAATCTGTAAACAAGGAATAACAAAGTTGTTTACATGATGGGTTTGATGTTTGATAGAAGATGACGACCAGCCTGCTTCATAACATATTATGAGCCTACTCACCTTATCTCTTTTCTAGTTATCTTCAGTTATCAGTGTATTTAGCTACTAGACAGTTCTTATTTTTAACTTTAACAATCGGAAAGAAACTTTAAAAGTTTCTAGACCATTTATTATTCTATAAGATTTTATATTTTCTCATTAATTTGTCAGTATTAATCTTGGTGAAATATGATTTTTATTCCATTTAGTTCAGTGGGTTCTATCATTGACCATTTGTGCATGTCCATATCAATATTACATTACACAATAAAGAAATTCTGGTTGAATATTAAACTAAGACAAAAGTAAAAAATCACATTTGAAATTTACATCTGCAATCTTGAAATTTATAATGTGGGTATATGACGGTCATCAAACCTTATTTATTCTGAGATACTGTAGAAAATCCTTAAACCCTTGACAGAATACGATATGAGTGGGCTGAAGACAATGTAAAATGGATAAAATTACATTCAAAAGTGTATGTAATAAAAATGATAAAAAAATGATATACAATACAAATATCTTTATTCAACAGCTTCAAGCATAGAATGGTGTCATACATTTTTTGAAAAGAGAAGTTACAGTTTTTTTTAAAGATATATCAAACGTCAATGTGTTTACTGGACCGCCGGAAGAACTCTTCGATGCTGTACAGAGGAGTTTCCAGAAGCCAGCTGCGAAGTCTCGTTTTTAGTGTGGCAGGGTTTCCACTTTTGATGTATCGTGGGAAGTGATTGAAAAGCTTTGGTCCAGCGTAGTTAGGCCTTTTCGAAAAAATTGCAGTCTTGTGGTAGGGCAAATTGAAGTCAAGTGAGTTTCGGGTGCTGTGATTGTGCATGCTACCCTGCCTGATGGACTCGAGTTTGCTGGCATGAAGTATCACCTCCAGAATGTATATTGAAGGGACAGTGAGGATGTGAAGGTCTTTGTAAACAGCTCTGCTGCTGTCTCTTCGTTTTAATCCGGCCACTTCTGTAGTTTGATGTGCAGGATATTCTCCTGTGAAGAACCACCCCAAAATATAATTCCATATCGAAGGTGACTTTCAAAGAGGGCGTAGGCCATACTAGCTGCATCTGGAGTACTGGTTGTCAACCCTCGCCATATTCCAAAAACAGCAGAGCCAAATTTTTAGAGGGAATGAACTAATGTGGGTGTTCCATGACAGAGTATTGTCAAGGACCATTCCCAGATGTTTGGTAGTAACAACAGTATCGATGCCTGGTGGTCCGGACATGCTCAGTTTTCCTCTGCCCAGGATGAGCTGTGTGGTTTTATTTTCATTAAAATCTAAATTGTTTGTCAAACAGTAGTCCTGGGCTAGGCTGATGGAAATAAAGTTTGATACTTCCAAATTCATCCACACACTTGAGAATTGATGAAATCTGGATCCTTTATAAAAGAATTTATATCCAAATGAGGGCATTTGAAGTTGGCTCTGTTTTAAATCTCTTGATCATAATTTTATATAATCATATATTTACCGTCTTGTGAGTAACAGTGTAAGCGTAAATATATGTTTTAACTGTTATAAGACATTTCTTTTATTTACTTTCCGTTTATATAATTGATCACATATTGTCAAAGCATCATAGCATATGTAAATTGAGTTCTTATGTAGACAAGAGTTTTGACATCAGAAACAAACTAAAATTATTTCTGTTGGATTGTAAATTAATATAATAAAAATTTCAGATTTCTCCATTTTAAAATATCAATTGTGGGCCTTCGCCATATAAATCTTCATAAATTATTGAGGGTTGCTGTCGCAAAAAAATATACAGCAAAGGTTTGTACGTATAATAAATTCGGTGCTCTGGGTTTTACCAACTGACAACTATTTTAGTAACTCCTACCACTCCAAAAAAATGTGTTGTCTTGAAATATTTCAAAATATAATTTTATCAATATAACTGCCCCTGAGGCCCTGAACTGGTTTAGTAAATTGTCTGCATTTGAGGAGGAGAAACTGTTGAATGCCGCAGAACGTTATGACAAGCGCTAAGATATCATTTGAGCTCCATTTGACCGAGCTCACCTAAGCTCGTCTTGAACTATTTCAAAATCGAAATATTATTTTATCAATACAACTGCCGCTGAGGCCTTGAACTGGTTTACTAAACTGTCTGCATTTCAGGAGGAGGAACTGTTGAATGCCGCAGAACGTTATGACAGCGTTAAGATATCATTTGAGCTCCATCTGACTGAGCTCACTGAAGCTCGATGGGAAACACTTCTTCTGAAGAAACGTCTTTACATTCAGGTGCCCTCCTGTCTGCTTCCTGAAGGCTCTAAGGAAGGGTTAGTATAAGTAATTTTCACAATTTTCAAATATTTTATGCCTTTTCATTGAAAATAAGTTTACTACTCATTAAAGTGTAGGAAAAAGGTCTAGCTTTGTTAATATTTTAAAGTGACAGTTTTGGGCCACCCCTTCAAAACCTACAACCAGAATACTCAACCAGATAATATTGATTATTCTGTTTGAAAATTAAATTTTCTGTGTCAAAATATTTTGTAAACTGAAAGAACAAAATATTGTTAACAGTCACCGTACACTGCTTGAGTGAATTTTCATTTACTGCTGTATTTGTGATCGCAGGTTTATCTCTCTGTTGGAATATGCAGAAGAAGTGCTTCACTGCACTGACATCATTGTCTGTATGAAGAAAGATCGTGCCGACAGAGGTTTGTGTCTAATTTTTGTATTTCATTAACAATATGTTTGGTTTATTTTTTGTCAGATTACCAGTTCAACTCAAAACTGTAAATGGGCTGCCAATGTTTTAAAATGACTTGAGATTTTATTCCAATTCCAAAATCATCCGAAATTACAGTGACATTGTCATCTCCCACGATCCCAGCGTCATCGTGAATTTTGATAGCGTAAATTTTCCATTAATGTTGCCAGATACTGTCAGGAAAAATCTAAAAATTACTAAAATTTACTCATGAAAAAGGGTCTTAACATAATGAGTAAAGTATACAGTAGAATCCCGTTATTCTGAACTAACTGGGACCGAACGCTATTTCTATTAGCACCAATATGGAATAAGCGGATTTCTGATAGTGAAATCATCGTGATCGTGGTTGACGTTTGTGTAGCTGTGTGTTGTGATGTTGGCATTGGGATCACAAGAGATGATTACCAATACTCTGGTATTGCTGGTATCAAATTAAATTTCGATACAGTCTTTGATTTGTGCTTTACACCAGTTATCATTTATAAAAGCTCAAGAGTTTCTAATATTATTTCCTTACATTAGTTTAGCATGAGTTAACAAATTCGCTACCACAATAGTACAAAATTTGCCATTCATATGGACCAGCGACGCACATATGCGACAGCCGGTTTCTACCCCCAAAGACTGCCGTCGTATCTTTTAAATTATCATTGTCTAACAGATTTTCGCCCATGGTCTGCGTGTACTGTTGACCAAGTGACACCTGGTCTATGTGTAAGATGTATACCTCAGTCCGTGACAATGACCGAGGCGTTGCATATATGCGACGCTAGGTAGCGAACGTGTTAAAGAGCTACAAAATAGATGCTAGGTCTTGAAGTAACAAAGGGAATACATGGGAATCATGTGGAAATTTTAAAGAGTCTGTTTTTTGGACACCTTAGAGAGCCTCTCACAAAGAACCAAAGCTATAGTTGATATGCTTAGAAGTACAGTTCACCTCTGTACATCGATGAAGGCACTTGGTTAAGCATAAAAATGCCAAGGCCACAAATGTCATTAGTACTCTCTATTGACTAACAAAAAACTAAAAGTTAAAAGATACACAAGTTTTAAAATAAAGATATCATAATCTTGTATTTTACTTAATAATTCTTCGTTTGAACTATTAACCAAAAATATGATTCTACAGACAAATTGTATAATAATATAGACCAAGAAAAAAACCTAATGCGACAGGTGCAGTTGTGATCCATTGGAATAACCTGAAAAAAATTACTTAAGGAGCTTGATCAAATTCAATGGTTATTTTAATCATGGATCGATATTTAAATATTAAGAGGTCTATCTGTAAGTTATGGTCTCTGTCAAACACCTGTTACGGCCGAACAGCTAGCTCAGATCTGATACCAGTGTCTTGTTCTTTACTACATTCATTGCTATTGTAGTTAGTTTCCACCCCAATGAGTGTTGACATTGTGGTCAAATCAATTTGAAGGAAAATAATGTGAATCGTGTACTATATTACTGTAATTAGGTTTCTGTAGGGAGGAGATTAAGCCCTATTGAAGTCGCTCAGTCGAGACTGGAGACCTTAATTTGCATATAACGCTCGTAGTTTCAAAGCTCCTGGTATACACACTATCACATTTCACCACCACAAAGATGTGTATGTTATGTTGCAGCTCAACTGATCCGAACGTTCATGTTCCTTGGCTTCACAGTCCTGACTCCTGGACACGTGTTGATTCCTCACAACAGTGACAACATCAACCTCTACATGCGTTACACCACTGAGTAGTTCACCTAAGTTGTAATACCTTTTATTAGCCTACTATCTTACATGTATTAATTTTTCTTTTCTCACTTGTTCTATAAATTACTTAGATTTCTTCAACAATCGTATTCTTAGAATCAGTTAAACATTTAGTTTGTGTTAGTTGAAAGTTATGTTTCAGATGAATTAAAATTGTTATTTAGTTTTAACTTACAATAGTGTAAGTGGTGGAAACATGTTTGGTAGCGGGGATTAGGATGGTTTCTCTTCGAATTAGCCGCGTGGCAGTTTGTAGATTGAGGGACCAAAGTCACTGACAATCTTTTTCTTATTTGAACTCAATTTTCTGTGTAATTTTACCTGACCGTATATTAATACTGGCACTAAGTTAAAAATCATTATTTGAGCAACTAAATATTTTAATCTTAGTTTTCCCTCCATATCTTCAATGGTTTTTCGAAGACAAACCATCTTTTTTCTTAATCTGTGCTGAGAGCTTACGACGAGACTTTAAAAAATCAATAAAAAAATGTAAAAATAAAAAAATAAAAAAAAATTTATTTTAATACATTTATCTTATAGTAGTTCGTAGATTTTGGTTTGCTTTGTTTATGTTTAAGAGTGGTTTCCTTATATTATGTAGTATATACCATTCCAGAGTTATTTTTTGCCTCAGTTATAGTAATCAAGAGGCTGAAAAGTGACAAGGTTTGTTCTGCTTTGTTTTTATCTTAAACATTGTTTTGGAATGTTCTGAACAGATTCAGTTAATTTCAGTTTCACGTAACTTTTGTTAAGTCTGTGTGTGGTGGTTCATTGTTGATTTTCCATGAGCAATATAGTTAGTTGGTATTCTAAAACATTTTATACTTTTTAATGTGATCATCAAGAAAATAAATCAAGAAAAGCGTTGCATGTATGTTATATTTTGCTTAGTTTACAGTTATTTCCACAGTTATATATATATTGTATAAGCTATTTAACACATTTATTGATAACATGGAATTTATTTAATGTAGTCAGGTGCATATGTCTAATAAACAATAAAAAACACAAGTTTAACTTCTTCTCTCCCTATTCTCAAACTTTAGTTCAGCAAAAGCGCTCAAATAAAGGTAAAGAAAGTATTCAACATAAATTCTTGCCACCACGACTGAGAATTCAAAGTAGGCCTATATAAAAGGATGCACCTTGTCCATATCACGATACAACACATAGTGTCTATGTGATCTTGTACTCGGACAAAATAACATAAAAGTTGCCTCGTGTGCGTCATCATTGAGTATAAACGTAACGTTATAATATAATAATAATATACAATCATTGAGTATATAAACATTACATTTATATTCAATGGCGTCATATAACCTGTGTCAGTCTTTTTGTAAATTTTCAGTGACTCCGGCCTACTGTTGGTTTATTAAATGTTTTAAATGTTTTTTTTTATGTTACTGGTACGAGTCAATATGTGTTTGTTAACATCGATGCCTGTCGGATTTGATCAACTTTCAATTTGACGTTGAATTTGACAGTGGTTCATAATACCCAAAACAAGTAATCCTCTGAAAACTATTAAAGACTAAATATGGAAAAGGTAAGTAACCTTTTATACAGGGTGTTCAAAAAAGGGGGGGACATGATTTACTTGGTGATTCCTTAGGTCAAAATAAAGAGAAAATCAAGAATAACACTTTTTCCAAAACTGCTGTGTATTTTTACATACATTTTTTAATCTTTGGATTGTTTTACCAATCGTTATGAAACTTTGTATTTATATTAAGGTATAAGGGACCCATCTTAAAAAAAGTTACCTTGATTCAATTAAAAGATGTAAAAACACATTTATCATTTAAAATTTCTTATCAAACAAAACCAAGTTCAAAAAGATTGAATAACAAATAACTGAAATATCACGATTTTTAGTTGTAAAATGGGGTAAATAATGCTAAGCTATATGAAGTTTGCCAGATCTCCAGACGTCTAGTTCCTGCTGCTGCTCAGGTGAGGAAGTGAGTGGTAATGTTATATGGTATTTACAAAGCTACCAATAGGGTTGATGACAAGGCAAGCTATGTGGAAGAGGAGATATTGACTGGAATGCTCTGCAACTAAGAAGGCAATTTGTATTTCGAGAATTCTGGAAGCCCCTAATCAAATAAAGGCAGCTTGGGAAATTATTTGAATGGAAAGTGGCAGAGAGGGAGCGAACCTTGCATGTAAAATAAATCCAGACATCTTAAATAGTTACTTTGTAGATTCAGTGAAGGAGATTAATGAGCAGGGTCCGGCATTTATTGTGTAGGATATACTCTTAGCGGCCAATAAAGTTTACAGAGGACTAGATGTTTTCAGATGGAACATGGTGATTAAGTAAGAAAATTAGTGAAGAATTTTAAGGTCTTGCTGCTTAAAGATTTTTTTGCATTCTCAAATAAAATTGTATGTGAGATCCTTTCAGATATAATTCCACCGCTGACTCACCTTATTAACAGATGTCTCGCAGAGGGGATTTTTCCAGAAGTTTGTAAACAGATTTGGTCCCGGTATACATGAGTCCCCGCGAGATTCCCCCTCCAGTTATAGGCTAATTTTTCTGGTGCCTGAGGTGGTGATGTTACACCATCTGACTTTTCTCTAGAAACAAGGAGGCTGCTAAGTTGCCAGCAGTTTGCTTAAAGGAGAGTAAGATCAACTGTGTGAATGCTGTGTGCCAGTTTTGCACTTTCATATCTGATGTGATGGATATGAGGTGGTGCGGAAGCGGTATTTGGTGACATGTCGAAGACTGCCTTAGCCATGAAACTGTGTTAAGGAAGCTGGAGAGTCTGGGGTGTCTGATCAGGCCAATATAGGTTGATGGTGGCAAGCTTCCTCAAGAAGAGAAGGCAGGTGGTGGTGGCCGATGGCCCGGGACTCTGGGTTGAATAATGTGTATGGGCGTCCCACAGGGGTCCAAGTTAGGATCATTGCTGTTTTTGGTGATGTTGATGACCTGTATATCGGGTAGAACTATTATCTACGTGACAACACGACCATCATTTCCAGGGGAGCGGATTTTGGCTCAGTGAGGGAGGAGATAGAGTTGGCATACAGTGAGGCCAAGGTCTGGTTTCAGGCTAATGGTTGGCACTAAATGAGGCAAAAAAGCAACTGTGATTTTTAATTTAAAGAGGATAGTGAGGATCAAGATGTGGCCAAATTACTGGGTTTCCACTTGAGCTCAAAGTTAGACTGGAATGAACATAGAAGTGGTTCTGAAGAGGCAGCAGAGTAATTTATTTATAAGGTGACTAGACTACAGGACAGTCTAACTGCTGAATGTGTGAGGTTCGTTTATTTTGCATTTACCACAGAATACTTGTGCATGGGATCCTCCTATGGAGACATGCATGCCAGAAGGTATAACATTTTCATCAGGCAAAAAGAGGCTGTTAGGATAATCTTAGGAGTAGAGGGAATCAGCATGATTATTGCAGACCACACTGTTCAAAGAATTATGAAAACCTAATGACTTTCTCTTGTCTGTATATGTCAGACTGCCTGTTGTGGTGTAAAGAGACAGAGCATGAGCTGTATTCAAGGAGTACATCGGCAAAACACAAGAAAAAGATTTACTAAATGCCCCCCGATTTAGGCTGGCAAAAAATTTAAAGTCTTTTAGGTATTGCTCTTTCAAGGTGTTTAACAGTCTGCAGGAAAACTTCTAAAACTGATTCAATTTTAAAGGACCGTGGTTTTAATTTTTGAGTGTGTGTATACTTTGAGTTTTACGACAAGGCCCATTTCAGTCTACTGGTCTACGGTTACTTTCATCAAGGTAAAGGAATAATGATCTCTAGCTGCTGGTGATCCTGCTGAATTATCTCTAGGCGTCTAGGACCGGCTGCTGCTTTATAAAGATCCCCAGATCTGCATTCTTTTGCGTAGTTAATGTTACAATGTAATTCGATTATGCTGTTTTGTAGCATTGTTTAAAATCAAATAAATTGGGATTGGCTAAAGAGTATGAACTCGTACAACGCAGAACGCATATCGATATTGTAATAACTTAAGTAATCCAAAATTGTCGTGTAGGTAGGCCCTAATAATAATTCAAATCTTAAAATAAGCTCCATGAGCGTTATCTCTTTAAAATTATACCACGATTATACTCTTTTCACAAGAATAACTAGTATCATAGATTATGTATATATGTGTTCGTGTATGTATATAAGTTATCTGTGTCAATGTATAATTAATAACTATAAGCCTTGAACTTCATGACTAGAAATATAATTTATGCTTTACTTTTGTATGCATCCAATTAATATATTTCCCAATTTTACCAAGCGTATGTACGTATACACGTATAAAGATACGTATACACATCACTGTTTTTTCTCTTTGCAAATTCCGTTGGCATACTTGTAAACTGCACCCTGCACGTACCTAGACCTAACCAAAGAAAGATCTAGTTGACAGTTCCAGTTGTCACATTGTTCATTATTCTCGAAAATGGTAAATATATCTTTATTACTCTAATGTTGATAATATTATGATTTATTGCAAATATTGCTTTTATTTCAATCAACTATGTAATATCTTAACTGATAATACGGTTCATTTTGTTTTAGGCTTCCTATTCAGAAGACCAGTTGGCGGGTGAGTAATACTTTGTAAAATCCTTGTTCAGAATGGGGTCAAAAGTACTTGTATGGCATTGCTTGACCAAGAATTCCTTATTTGGCAAGAAAGGTTACTTTTGCTCACTGGTTGATATAAGTAAGCAAGCTTCACTCTTACCTGTGATACTGCAGTGACTCTTTCAAAAGTGCCTTGTAGGTGTAGCCCTATATTACATTAGGCCTAGTCAGGTATTTTTCTTAAAACTATTGGTCTACCTATCTCTGAGTCATCAAGATGTATGGGTTTGAGAATGTCAATAAAGTTATGACTTCCATGGAAGGTAAATATGTTGAATTTTTAAAACATATGTAGGGAAATATTTTCTGAATGTTCGGCTACTCAAAATGATTTTGATAGAATTAGCTCATCCAAAAGATTAATGAATTAACTCAATATTTAGGCCTACTGTTTTTTTGCTCTAATGGCAATATTTGATTTTTATAATATTTGCCAAAAATAAAGAGATGATGTTAAGTTTTGGCATTTTTGAGTCTTGCTTTGAGTACGTACATAGTTTTTATAGTTTACATAGTTTTTATAGTTTACATAGTTTTTATATTTATGATAGGCTATATAACGTAACTTAGGCCTGCTGCAACATTTTTTGCTGACTAATATTTTTCCCTGTGGTATGTTAGAAGCTTGTTTAGAAGTACTTACTTTTTTCCTAATGGGCTCAAGCCTTCCCCGTCTAACTTATAGCATTCTAACTCTTGTGGAAATAATATTATTAATTATTAATAGCCTAATATTATTTTGGTTGACTACATAAATCAGCTAGGCCTCATTCTTAATATGCAGTGATGCTTATCAGGAATGGGATTCACTAAAATATATGCCTACTCTTATTTTTTATCATATTTCATATTTGCTAGCTTGTATAACATCATAAAACATTTTGGCCAGCCTATGCCAGAAAATATTGTGCAAGTAGGATAACTTGTATTTCCATTAACCCTCCAGCTGGCAATGGGCGAACTCTGTAGTGGCAAGGCATTTTTGGTGGTTTTGCAGTCATATTTTCGAAAATTCATAGGCCTATAAACTATACCAACAGAGCAAACTTATTGAACCGTGTACCGTATTATTGAATTGTTTGTAATGAAATGAAGAAAAATTTTGAAAGTATAAAACTTTGCTGCATGAACCAAATATTCTTTATGTAAAATACAAGATATACTTACAAAATGTTTTGAATTTATTTCCCTACATGGAAATGTAAAACTATTTCAATTACTATTTTGTTTGTAGAAAGTTATGACCTGAAAACAAAAAATGGCAAATTCCATGATTTTGTGCTGCAAATTTCAAGCATAGGCCTAAACCAAATAAAAGTTTTTCAAGAAATTTTGTAAAAGTTTACACATTTTTGTAGAGGCAATATCATTATAAATTAAATGAAGTAAGAATTGTTCATGGAAAATGATCATTACTAGGGCCTATACTATAAATCTTTATTACTTTTATAAATGTTTATATTTTTTTAGAAAAAAAACATTTTTTTATTCAAACATGTATGTTATTTTTCAAACACATAAACCAAAATACCAACTATTTAAAATGAAAGTAAATTTATTCCTCTACATGAATATATATATATAGGTAGTTATAAAGGAGAATATAAATAAATACATATTTTATAGTGTTTTATATATAATGCCGCTGCACCTTTTTCATGTGGCAATTAAATCGTTTCTTCACTATGACAAAATTTTTCAGAAACGGGACTATAAATGTAATGTCTCAAACCTCAAATTTAGCAAGTACAGTTGAACCTCTATAAGACGAATTTCAAGGGGTACGGGAAAAATTCGTACTATAGAGGTATTCTTAATAAAGAGGGTCGTTTTATCGAGGTTTAATGCTGCTGTTATTCTTCTTATAGAGGTTTCTCCTCGCTCCAAGGTTTCTCCAAAAACAATGACTGAGGAAGGAGGAGGGATGGGTGGGGGTTTCATGTAGAGACAAGCTTCTGTTTGGAGTACAAACTACGTACTATGGAGGTTAAGATTATGATAAATTCGTCTTATAGAGGTCACGTTCGTCTTGTAGAGGTTTTGTGCTAAGAATATTCGTTGTATAGAGGTTAATCAGTCCTAGTCCATGTCACAAACAAATTCGTCTTATGGAGGTTTTTAACTTAATTACTACGTTGTATAGAGGCGTTTTTAGCATTGACCTATATGAAAGTGTCAAGGGGATTAAGAAAAATTCGTCTTATCGAGGAATTCGGTTTATCGAGGTTCGTACAAACGAGGTTCAACTGTATATGCTCAATAAACAGTTTACAAACTAAATAGGCCTATGCAGGGCCGTCGCGTGGGTCGACCAGGGCGACCGCCCTGGGCGCCGCTGTCAGGGGGGCGCCGCGGCAAAAGTAATGCAACAAAATTTAAAAAAGTTAGATGCACATAACATATCTTGGAAAGTTATGTACAACCACGAATACTAGTTCTATTATTTGTGTGTGTTTACAACTGAATGTTGAATATTAAGTTGTATGCCTTTATTGAACAAATAAATATTATTTATTTGAATTAAATTTAGTAATAATAGCCTAAGCAATCAACTCCACTGTGGAGTTGAAGGCTCTGTCCCAACTTAATTATCTTTATATTGCAATGTCTTAATTATCTTAATATTGCAATGTCGCGGTTCGCGGTGTTGCTCTGTACACGTAGCTGCCGTATTCTATTTTTATTTCGCCCGACCGGCCGACGGTTGACCTTGGGAACCACCCCCACCCCAATCACTCCTTTCTTCTACGGCAGTCTCAGCTGAGCTGCCAGCTTAGTTTGACGAGTTATCTATATATTTAATACGCTAGGCATATTTTTGTCATAATTGTTTTAATTGTTAATTGTTGTATTAATTAATAACATATACAGTATAGTACTTTTTATATATTTTAACATTTTCTTACATTAATAGGGATCTGGTTATCATCAATTAAAAAAGATTTGCATACAAAATTTAAGTAGGCCTAATTTATCCCTAATAATCAATCCCTGATTCCTGACTCTAGTACTTTTGTAAGGTGATTCAGTTCCTTTAGGTGTCTGTTTTTGGGGATTAAAACAAAGATAGCGACATCATCACTTATCGAGTGTTGGGGGGGGGGGGGGGCGCCTGGCAACATCCCGCCCCGGGCGCCAAAAAGCCACGCGACGGCCCTGGGCCTATGTCTAAATTTACAACTAATAAATATGATAACTTATATACGGTCAACGGGTGTACCGACCGGGAATCATGCGGGAGTTTTTTGAACCAGAAAATGTGTGAATTTTGTATTTCTACCTGGAGTTTTCAATTTACCGTGATTGCGCATGACAACAGTGAAGTTTCCGTGACCGTGGGAGACGATAATATGTCGATAATATGGGGGAAAAAAAGTGCCTGTTAAGAAGTGAAGTTGGTTAATTTGTGGTGCCCATAATTGACTTAAAATCATTAGTTTTTCAAGTACTGGGCCTAGGTAAAGTAGTACAACATAACCTTCAACTTACCGTGAGTGAAGTGTAGAATAGACTATAAAAATAATTGAAGTATTTTTAATGTAATCCTTTCATAAAAATTTCAATATTTTGAACTTTTAATATTTGCTGACATTATTTCATGTTTAAACACAACTTGACAAACTGACAGGTCATCTTTTGCTGTGTTATGCATGGAGTAAAATCTCTGCACTTTTAGTTTCCATGTAGCTCTGTATCGGATGTCTGGCTTATACTATATAACAAGAACTACCTTACATTGTTGAAATTATATAGTTATACTTTTACGAGATTCATGAGTTGTTAAATACTTTTTTACTTAAACCCACTAAATGTCAAATATTTTGGACCCATATTGTATTTCTTAAACTGTGCTTTAATTAAAGAAGCTTTAAAATGCCATTGCCTAAAGGATGGATAAGAGAGGAACATGCAAGACAGAAAGGTTTAAGTGTTGGCAAAGTAGATATTTGTATTAAATCCCCAAAAGGCAGGATTTTTCGTTCAAAAAAATCCCTCATGGCCTATATTGAAGATAAAAAACTTCCATATAATATAGAAGATTTCAATTTCACAACTAAGAAGACCACAAGAACAAATAGTCCTTCTGCAAGTGATTCCGCAACCAGTATTGACCAGGAAAGTACAGATTCTACTCTAGATGACTCCACAATAACAACTCCAAGTAGAGCAAGTGATACTCATTCATTACTGCAGGAGGTGGGTGTTAATTCTCCGAGAGTTGGCAATGTTCCCAGTTCATGTTCAACTCAAACTGATACATCATCTGTTGTAATAGCATCATGTTGTGAGTTACTGTCTAGAAGCTGGCTTTCTGATGACACACTACAAAAATATTTCCAAATTTTAGACACAAAACTTTGGCTTTCCAGTGTATCTTGTCATATACTGAATCCTCTACTTGCTCACATAGTAAAAAATTTGGATGACTATAAACATTTTCTGGAAGGGCACAATCTCAAGAAATATAATTACCTTATTATTCCAATTAATGATGCTACATCTCTTGACAAGGCTGGCGGCACTCATTGGAGTGTCCTTGTGATTGATAGGATCAAAAAGTGTGCCTTCTACATTGATTCTTCTGTAAATCATGTTATTAAACATGCAAAGACTGTAGCTGACAAACTCAATGAATATCTTGAGCTTGAGTGTTTGGACTTTACTCACATTCCGTTTCCAATTCAGTTAAACAACTATGACTGTGGCATATATTCAATTATAGCGATTGAAAGCTTGATCCTAGATATTGTGGAGCACAGCTCTGACCTGGACACTGAAACCCTTGGTAAATTGCAAATTTCTGAAATTGATCTTATTAGAAAACGATCATATATTGCATACGTCCTGAATAATCAATTGACAACGGAAAAGAATACCTTGCTGTCAATGATGAGGGAGATCAAAGTTAAAGGAAACATCACATCTCTTAATAAACAGATGCAGGATCTAGAACAGGAGAACATTAATTTGAAGACACAATTGACATCTTCACACAGAAAGAAAGAAGCCGGTGTAAAAGTGTTTGTTCCCTCGTCTTTAAAATCCCCAATTACACCTTTGACTAGTCCCCCGGACACTAGAAATAAAATTCTAATTGTAGCAGACAGCCATGGAAGGCATGTAGTTTCTGAACTAAACAGTGTCTGGCCCAAAAGTGATTTAAATATCAGCTGCATTTTTAAACCAAATGCCATCCTTTCAGAAGTTGTCAGGGATATCAAAGGACTAACGAAGCACTTTACCAAGTCTGATACTTTGATTA